AATATATATATATATTTCCGGGCTGTTTTTTTGCCCGCCCGGTTTGCCCGGGCCACCCACCCGGGCCCTGCCCGGCCGGGCGGCGTCTGTACTCAGCATATTGTGTCTTTTGAACGAGATTGAAATCTCATTTTTTGGCCCAAAATTCAGGACATTGAGGTTACGGCGTCCTGAAAGCGTCCTACCCCCTGGATGTACCTGGACTTAGCTTACGTCCACGTACATCCAAGGTGTTTGGCGTTTTCTGGCCTGGATGTGTGTGGACTTCCAGCGAAGTCCACATACATCCAGGGGGTAGGGCATTTTCAGAACACCGTGCCCTCAATTTCATGAATTTTGGGCCAAAAACTGAGATTTCAATTTCATTAAAAAAATGTAATATAATAGTATGTCCATTTTATCTATGTCACTCCTGTTCCAAGTTCAGCACAGCAGACCCTTTCCTATCCCAGGGCCACAGATGGGGAATTCCTAGTTGACCCCTGGGGCGTGGTCCCACTAGCAAAGAGGATCGGATCGAACGCCTGAATCTGGACGAAGTTGTGGAAATGTGCAGGAAATCTAGATTGAACCGCTTTTCTGCATCTCTGCCTAAAACACATCCAGATTCAGGCATTCGATCCAATCCTCTTTGCTAGTGGGACCTCCGCCCTGGTCCAATCCCACCACCTCCAAAGCCATGTTGGCCCGGGGCATCGGAGAAAAATATGTTGAATTAGTTCTGGCATAATACGGGATCTTTCTGCCAAGTTTCTGATGATGATGAAAAGAATGCCCGCATAAAAAAAAAAAAAAAAAAAAAAAAAAAAAAAAAAAAAAAAGAGCCCGCGTTCCACTGGTTTCGCTCATTCGAATCAAGGAGGAGAAAGGGTTGCAAGTTCTTGCAATGACCAACCGGATTTTTGCGAGTGCTGCTGGCCGCCAACTTGAATGCAGTCAATCCTCTGGATGCCAGAGTAATCAATGCTGGCAGGTTTCACAGTCAGCCTCTCTTGATCCAGCCTGTGTTAATTCTGTTTTTTCATCCTGTAATGGGACGCCGGACCCGTTTTCCAGTCCAGCAGGTTATGCTCCCCACCAATAGATGGAGCCTCTCCCCAACCATGCTAGAGGTGTCTGGACTTGTCAGCACCACTAGCACTGCAGGGGGTGTGTTGTTCAAAAAAAAAAAAAAAAAAAAAAAAAAAGGAAAAGAAAGAAAAGAAAAGAAAAGAAAAGAAAAGAGGGTAAAGCACAATGGGGATATTTCCTCTGTGAGGGAATTGTGCTTGCGAAACAACATGCAGGTGTCACGGGGTTCACCAAATGACCAGCGTGTCCTCGTATGATAGGTGGGTCCTAAGATTGGGGCAAGGTCACACCCACAGGTCTGGATTGTATCCGCCAGCGCTCTTAGGGATGCGTCTGAGGCATTAATGAGGACCGTCCGATCATCTGCGAATAGGGATGTTGCTGGCACAAACCACGGGGGTAATTCTGGGATATCGATTCGTTCAAATGTCCAGATTAGCCCGGATCATTGCCGCAAGTGCTTCCATAACTAGCACAAAGAGGAGGGGGGCCGCCGGGTCCCCTTGTCTCACCGATCTTTTAAGGGCGAACCGGTGGGAGAGGTGGCCATTGACCATAATGGACCTGTGCACGATAGACGCCCATACTCTGAAGGAGTCGCCAAAGTTCATTTTGGGATTGTCAAAATGTCTTGCATGTTGTGTAGGGGAAATGTGTGGGTACTAGGTAGAGGATTGGAAGGGGTTAAAAAGTCTGATAAGGGAACAATCACCAGGGGGGCTGCCATACAGGGTTGGGTTGACAGACAAAGGGTGCTCCAAGATGGGATGAGTGTAACTAGCAGCCCCATGGGACAATGGAGTCCCGGACCAGTGAGACAAACAACCACAGCACTGGGAAACAATGACCGACAACTGCTGTGCTACAAGATGTATCACTTGGACGCTGGACGCGGTTTCCAGCAGGTGTCGCTCCCCACCAATAGATGGAGCAGCCCAACAGTCAAGCCCTCAATCCTGACGGTTCTCGTACCACCGCTTGCATAGAGGGCTGACGCAAGGTCTTTCAAAAAATACACATCTAGATGTGTATAAGAGACAGCCCTTTCTCCATCCTCCCATCCCTCCCTCCCTCCATCCCATCTCGCCATCCTCCATCATCGATCATCCATCCATCCATCCATCCATCCGTCCCTCCATCCCATCTTGCCATCCCTCCCTCCCTCCCATATCCACAACTCGCCAAAGTATCTCGCCATCACTCTCTCCCTCCCGTCTCGCCATAGTCCCTCTCATCTCGCCATCCTTCCCTCCCTCCCATCTCGCCATCCCTCCCTCCCTCCCTCGATCCATCCCTCCCTCGGTCCATAGTCCCTCCGTCCCTCCGTCGCCACATCTCGATATTGTAAAGCATATCCCTCCATCATAATATCTCGCCACCCACCCATCTTCCTTTTTTTTTTTTTTTTTTTTTTTTTTTTTTTTTTTTTTTCAAACTAAATCTTTCTTTATGTGCTTGTAGATAAGATCGTCATGATGGACCCCCCCCTTTCTGTTTTTTTTTTTTTTTTTTTTTTTTTTTTTTTTTTTCTTCTTCTCCGATATTGTAAAGCAGTCTCCCTCCGTCCGTCCACCCTACCATTTTATCAGTTGTTTATTGGAAGAAGCAGAGGGGTTGGTTGCAGCAGCATGGCCAGCGGGAGCAGGGCAGGGGGTGCGGTTGCTGGAGAAGGAAGCCGGAGGCAGTCGGAAAGAAGAGGGGGTAGAGGGAAGGACATTGCGAGCTCGAGCGCACCTTCGTCGGGGGTGGTTCACAAAGTCCCGACGCCGGCTACGAACCCATCCTTGTTCGTTCCACAGCCGGAGGAAAAGCAAACGAAGCTGCAGGGTGAGAAGGAGGTGTGGAAGCATGTGGAGCAAGGTCAGGAGGCTGCGCCGAAGGGGCGGGGAGAGTATTGGCTGGGTGTCGGCTGTGCTCGACCATTTACATAGGCACATGCATAAGAGTCATTGAGCATTTCCTCAAATTGCAGAAGCCTTTCCCTTTCAGGACAGGCGAGATATTGCACAAGCTGGTGGCCCAAGGCGCGAAGGTGCTGCCGAAGGACAAAAAGACGCAATACCTTCTGCAAAATTACCGGCAGATTCACAACATTTCGGCGGGGGGGGCTGCTGTCAAGGAAGACGACGAGAGTGCGGTTGTACGTCGCGGTTATGAGGAGCCACAACCGCCGGTTGCTGCTGGGAGGGAGCCAGTGGAGGAGCTGGTGCAGCGGGGGAAAAAAACTGCAGCGACACAGGCGGTGGGAGAAGATGTTGCTTCCACCACAAGGATGACTTCAATGCAGCAAACGACCATCAAGAGATGAGTCGACAACGCGGCGCAGAAGAAGTTGGATGTTGCGTGGGCGGAGGCAATGTCGAGAGCCGAAATTGCATTCCATTTCCTGGAGTTCGACACCACGCAGCAGCTGCACAACGTGTATCTCGAGGTGGCGAATGCCAGACCGGAGGTGAAGTTGCCGTCTTCGAAGCACATTCGGACTGTCATGCTCGAGTTCATTTTCATGCGCATTCAAAAGCAAGTGGAGCCTTTGACAAAATGTTGGGATGTCACCAACTGCACTTTCATCACGGACGGGTCTAACGATCGGAGGGAACGGCCTGTCATGAACTTCTTAGCGGTGGGGGAGCAAAGAGCTGTTCTAGTGGCGACGGTGTACATGGACGACAAGAAGAAGACGAGAGCAGCATTGGCGAAACTATGGGAAAAAATAATGAGGGAGATCGGGCTGCAACGCATCAACGCGATTTGCACTGACAACGCGGAGATGAACAAGAGAGCAACTCAAATATTGGAACGACGCACGGACCCCGCGGTTTCAAGGATACCTTGGGTTCCCTGCGCTGCACACTGCTACAGCTTGCTGCTAAGGGACATCAGCACGTTGGACTGGGTGAAAGGCACGGTGAAGCGGGGCCACACCATCGTCAAATTTATAAGGAATCACGACACGACTAACAGTTTCCTGATGAGTTTGGACTCATCATTGACGCTGTTGCGACCGACTGAGGTCCGTTTCGGGTCGGTGTACCGGATGCTGGAGCGGATATACAACCAGAGGGCAGTTTTGAAGGACATGGTGGAGTCGACGAATGTGGGGAAATGGAAGGCGATGCGATGGTCTAGCGCGAAGCTGCAAGCGAAAGCGGATCTCGTGTACTTCACACTGCGGAGGGATGCTTGGTGGACGGAGCTAAGGAAGGTGGTGGAGATGATGGAGCTGTTGTATCTCCTACTGCGGAGGATGGATAAGGACGAGACTGCACCGTCAAACCTTGTGGAGTACGACCGACTCATGGAGAGGATGCTGACGGAGGTTGTGCTGACACCGGAGCAACGAAGTTCTGTGCTAGAGAAGGTGAGGGACCGCATGAAGATGATGCGGCAACCGGTGCACGCGCTGACTTTTCTTCTCGACCCGCGGAGGAGAGATCCGAAGTGGTTGCTGGACCGGGACAGCGCACTTGTGCAGAACGCGCTGCGTTATTTGCAGAGGCAAATTGGCGGACCTTGGAAGTCCAAGGCGCACGTGGATATAATGAAAGACCTACGCGAGTTTCACAAGCGACCCACCGCATGCGACCCCAAGCGGAAGGACAAGAAGATGTGGGAAGAGGATGCGGTCGAGGATGCTGATACTATCTTGCCGTCGGAGTGGTGGGCAACACATGGCGGCGAGGTGCCGAAGTTGCAGGCCATTGCTATCAAAGTGATGGGCATGTGGAGCACTGCAACTCCGTAATTGGTCCTCAATGGACTTGGTGCACTCCAAGCGACGGAATCGGTTGAAGCCTGCGACTGTGGAGAAGCTTGTGTACATTCATTGGAATATGAATCTGTTGCGGGCGAGCAAGAACTTAAAGGACCATCACTATGTCGATTTGTGGGCGAAGTTCTTCGAGTCTCTTTAGGATGCGGAGGAGGGCGATGATCCTCTTTTGGAGGTGCCCGAGGAGGAGAAGGGGAAAACGGAGGAGGAGCAGGCGCTGGAACGGGCCTTAACCAAGTTACCAAAGGGCCGGATTCCGAAGAACCTCGAAGAAGACGAAGAGGAGCACACGGACGACAACGACTTGGAGGACGAGATATGGAAGGGAAAGGCTCCATGCTCTGAAACGTCTAGCGAAGGGGAGGCAGAAGACGGGTCCGACGATGACTTTGAGCTGGGAGCGCAGCCCTCAATCCCGGGCACCACATATGTTGGGAGGAGGCGAACAACGCAGTGCCATCGAGAACGCCCGCCCACAACGCCATGTCAAGGGACGACTAACACAAGTGCACAGTACTGCATCCAATCCGATGTTGAGCTACCGCAGACGGACACCGACATTAACATGGTGCTTCGCCCCGGTCCAATCGACGTGGATGAGGATCGCGAACGGGTGCAAAGGAGAAGGAGAGAGGAGAAGGAGCGGCGAGCAGCTATACAAACCCGTAGAGAAATGGAGAAACAAAAGAAGAAGGTTGGAGAGCATGAACCAGAGCCTGTGCGGGAAATGGGGCATCAGGAGGAGGAGGAAGAGAAGGAGATGGGCCAGCAAGACGAGGAGGAAGAACACGAGATGGCCCACCTAGTGCAGGAAGAAGAAGAGATGGAGGAGGAAGAAGAAGAGGCTTGCATGGAGCAGCAAGAGGAGGAGATGGAACAAGACAAAGGGAAGGGCACGGACCAGCAAGAAGAGGGGTTGGAGGACCAACATGCGGAACGGGTGGGAGAGAGCGAGGAGGAGCAGCAGCACGGCGAGATGGCGAACAGCGAGGAAGAGCTGCAACAGCAACAGCATGCACCGACGACCGTGTACAAGCGTCGGAAGAAAACAGTGTAACCTGCCGGGTCACTGGAGAATTCCCCCGAATTCCCAGACAACATAGAGGGAAGCCAACATGACAACCTGTGGGTCAGCAGGGTTGGGAGGAAGAGGAAGCCGCCCCCTGTCGACGATGTGCCGAGGCCGAAACTTCCACGTGGCAGGCTCGGAAGAACAAGACTGCCAGTCCGGCTACAAAGCCGAAAAAAAAAAAACCGGAAG